CGAAACTATATCAAACACTTAGTAAAAATTTAGCGAAATTAAAGGTTTTACCGTTTTGCCAAATCCAAAATGAGTTTAGACAAGCAACCTTATTTGTATTTGTAATAGAATTAATCTAATGAAGAAAAGTTCTAATACAATCTATTCTGACTTTTATAGTTAAATAGTGAAGGACCAAAAGGACATAATCTTGACATTCTGAAAGGTTTTCATTGGCTGTTTTCTTATTCTGTTCTTACTTTATATACAGAACCAGAAGAAGCAATGAATGCATTGCAGGTATGTATTAAATTAGTATTATTCTAATATTTAATACTCCTTAAAGTTGCGATTATAACCCCTTCTTTTAATTATTACTAGGATATACAAATATGTTTTAATAAAATGTTTGTACAATCGAAAAAATCATTAAAAAAGAAAAGGAGCAAAGAGGAAAATCTCGAAGAAAACCATAATCCTGTTGATGTAATTGTGGATATTTTACTCGGTTTTCTTGCAAAACCATCTGCATTTTTATACAACATGGCCGAACAAGTTTTTAAAGTTTTCTGTGAAGGCGTTACGAAATCTTCTTTGGACTTAATGTTAGACGTAAGTATCATTAAAAGATATTTTTTTTTTTACCTCAAACTATTATCATTTAAACTTTAACGTTATTAATTATATAGCTTATAAGTAAACAAGAGAATGCTGAAGAAGAATTGGTAGATGAAATAGATCAAGATGATAAGGAGGAGGAGGGTGAGGATGAGGAAAATACCGATGGAGAAGGACTCGATGAAAGTGACTTGGATAATGAAAAAATTGTTAATGGAAATAAGGAAGCAAAAGATCAATCTTTAATAAAAATTAATAATGAGGACGAAGAATATAGTGAGGAAGACATGAGTAACCAAGATGAAATGATGGAAAAATTTGATTCTAAGTTATCTGAATTTTTCAAAAACCAAAAATTTGGAAAGAAAAAGAAAAAAGGTAAATATCATATTTCATCAATCTTAGATTCAATATATTTATTACTAACACAAATATCTTAACGTTTATAGATACTAAATACCAAAGGATTCATTATAAACACAAGGTTATTGGATTGTTGAAAATTTTTGTTAAGGAACAACAAAATAATCCACTTATTTTTGAGTTAATAATGCCTTTGCTTAAGATAGCGAAGAATGCAAAAACTGATGAAATTGCTAAGGGCGTATATAATCTTCTCAATACTAGAGTGGTTGTCATAAAGGATGGCCTTACTGAATTTGATGATAGTAAAATACTCACTTTATTAGAACAAGTTCAGGATATGGCTCGAAAAGCACACTTTGGTGATATGATGACTTTGTGTTGGAAATCTTGTGCGTTCCTGCTTAAAGCTATAGTTCGACGTCATAACAAAGAAAGCAGTGACGCTTCAAGAGAAATCACAAATCAACATATTAAAAAGGCCATTGTTGTTTATGAATCCACATATAAGAGTTGGTGCACTAAGTCGAGTGCTTTGAATATAAAATGTTTTTCGCAGTTGCCTGCTAATATTCCTCAAATACCATGGCACTTTTCGGAATTATTCCTTGGGTGTACTGACCCAAAGACAGCAAAGAACCCTAAAAAGGTCATGAATGCATATGACGTATCATTTGCCATTTGTAATGTTGCGTTACCAAAGAAAAAACGGGTAAGTACGAATTATTTTATTTTATTTTGTTAAGTCGAAAATTTGATTAACCACATGTTTGATTATAGGAATCTAAAGGTGCTAATAGCATTATACCTAAATTAGCACCAAAAATAAGAGAAAATTTAAACAATACGCTTCAATTTATTGCAGAAGATTTAAAATGTGGCAATCAAAATTTTGATTCTCAAGCATTAAAATCTATTCTAAAGTTTGCGGGACTTGCAATCAAAAGGACTAGTACAGAAGTCTCAAAAGCTGAGGTATGTTATAAAATTTATTTGATATTAGAATATATTACATTATATTATTAATTATAATTTGATTTCCTATATTATATAGCTTAAGAAATTATGGAATACAAAGAAACTTTTGCCTTTACTTGAGAAAATTAAAGAATTACCAAGGTTTAAATCTTCCCAAGTTATTAATAATTTAGTAAAGGAAATTACACGTAATTTTCAATAATGAATTAGATATATATAAACGTGTTTAGATATTTTATCAAAAATATTCAAATTATTAGTATAATGTTTTCTCGGGGAAATAATAACCTTTTATTAAATGAAAAAAAAATTTTACATGAAAATTTGTAAACACTTTATTATAAGCTATAATTTAAAATTTTATCTTACTAATTCTCGATGACATGCTCAGTGTAAAATTCTAGTTAATGTAGTGCATCGCGTAGAAAAAACCAAAAGCAATTTGCACAATAATAAACGCAATGGGCAAATCAAAATTGCGGAAATAAAAATAGATTGCGTTCCTCAAATTCTGCAAACGAATTTTATTCGCTGGACATGCTACAATCATTAAAGAATAAATTCTAATAACTTATTTATTTGGTTGATTTTCCCTTACGATTAGGTCTAGCATTTTTAGACTTTCGTTTTTCTTTCAATTTTCTGAGTTTGTAAATTTGTTCTGCTGTCTTTAATTCATTATTAATTTTCTTATTAGTGTGTCCACTTGTGTTTTGCTTCTTCGATGATATATTAGAGAAGTCTCTTTGATCATTTGCAACATCTGCTTTGGAAGCTTTCTTGATTTTCTTTTCATAATTTTTGGATAAAGGATCCAATGGTTTAGGTGTTGTGATCTTATTATGCCGATATCGTTTCATATTGAGATTTTTATTGGGAAGTTCTTTTTCTCCCATACGGGGAATTTGAAGTTTATTGTGCTGTTGCCACTCTTTAAACCTAATAGTAAAAAGAAAAAAAATTTTATCATCAAGTCAAAACTTAATCTGTTAAGCTAAAATTGAAATAGTTTTTACCTTCCACTTTTATAAGTAGCAGGGATCTTAATCCCACTTTCAGTAGTTATTAATTTTTTATTATCTGATCCTATACCAATTCCTTTCACAAACTTTTTCTTTTTGCTATCCCATCTCAGCATTTTATTTTTGCCAAGTTGTGGAACGTGTTCATCGGTTTGAGTTTCCATTATGGCCTTTTTGGATTCTTCCGCAAAGGACATGCCTTGGTGTACAGAATATCTATAATTGAAACAGGTTAAAATTTTTATAAAATTAATTTAATTCTTTATATTATAAATATGCTTTACCCTTTTTCGGTATTTGCATCTTTTTGGACATGAGGGATATAGAATTCCTCATCACGGAAATGATCCTTCAATTTTTTCTGTTTTTTTGCTACAACAACATATGGATATGGATTCAATAAAAACCCATGAATTTAGATAAAACTAAATTGAAAATTTATATAAATGTACACACAAATTTCAATATTATTATCGTCAGCCTTTCTCTTCTTTAAGACTTTGCTCACAAAATTCTATTAAATATTAAATATTAATTGTTATTAATTGTTTATTTAATGTAACGATAAAATAATGTGAAATTATTATCAATTACTTACCTCAACTTTAAGATTGGATTTTATAAATTCTGATCGATCTGCACCTGAATTTTTATTTAAAATACTAGACTTATGTGCTTCAATTACCTTTGAAACATTCCCTCGACGTAGTTTCATGATTTGCGCTGCGGAAGAAGCTTTCTTACTTCCTCGGCTTCCGATTTCAAATATGGTCTATGATTTCAAATATTCATATTCTTATTCAACTCGAAACAATCTATTTAACAAAAAGTTAAATTTTACTCACTTCATGCGGCCTGAAACTAGAAATCGAACTAATTAAATTTCGTCGCTCCTTTTCTTTTTCATCAACCTTATCAGCTGTGAAATTAAAAAAAGGGGGAAAATTCAAGTAATTTATCAAAGGTAAAAGTAATTTTTTTAAAAAAAAAAGAAATTAAAATTCGATGCAAACCAAAAAGTAAATGTACATCAACATATTTCTCCGTTGCAATAATTTCCTTGGCTCTTTTATAACTTTCCGATGATGCCAACGGTCTGGATTTGCAATATTGCTTATATCCATTTTTTGCAACATTATTAAGCGCTTCAATATTGCTGACTTCTTTGTGAATATTTTTAACCCACTCCAAATTTACGCCCAAAGAATCAATAGGGAAACTACCCATAATAATATCGGAAGTATAATCCGGATTTGAACTTGCTGCTGAACCTATCACCAAACGTCGACCTAGAAACAGCTGGAGATCTAACAAATAAGGAAGCTGCGACCTTTTAATATTATGAATTGTAAACATAATTACCGTTTACTTTTAAACAAATACCTCTTCGGGTGTTATTAATGAGTACGCCCAACCTCTTTTACCAGCTCTCGCCGTTCGACCAACTCTATGAATAAAAACTTTGCTACTATCAACAAAGTCATAATTGATTACATTCTCCAGAATTGGAATGTCTATTCCACGAGCAGCCACATCAGTGACAACTAACAAATTAGTTTGACCATTTCGGAAATTGCTAATTTGAATTTTTCGGGCCGTTTGATCGAGTGAACTATAAATATAAGAAGGTTGATATCCCGCAAGGTTCAATAGATTTGTAATATATTCAACATGATGTTTTGTTGATACAAATATTATAGTTTGATGAGAAAGTAAGGAATGAGAATTATCCTTCTCAATCGATTTCTTGCTTGAAGATTTTAACTTATCATTATTTATAGGGTTTAAATTGATTGGAACTTTGATGATTTCCTTTATAATATATAGAAGAGCGGCTTCTTTTTCTGAATGTTTTATTGAAAAGAAAGCCATCTACATATTTAAATTCTTTATTAATCCACAAGTTTGGAAATAAACATTTCAAGAAAAATCAAAATTTACCTCCAAATCAGAGCTAATTTTGGTATCAACGTCTAATCTCACTAAAATCGGTTCATGTAAACCGGCTTTTGCAAAATCCACGAGTGATTGAGGTAAAGTCGCAGAAAAAAGCATAGTCTGTCTCGATTGAGGTAATCTATGCAAAATTTCATGTAATTGAACCGAAAATCCTAATTCGAATAATCTGAAATAACATATATATGTGGTCAATCTTAGCATAGAAATAACTGGTATATTAAAAAATATTTATAAAATATATATGTGTTTATATTGTAATTACCTATCGGCTTCATCAAAAACGATATATTCAACACTTTTGAGCTCCATATCCATTTCAACTATCAAATGGAGTAAACGTCCCGGAGTCGCTATAACACTGATGAATTTTTAATGTTATCTTGATGCATATTGATTATATTGATTGGCTCCATTTTTTAACATTTAAATGTGAAATTACATACATATCAGGATTGCCTGCAATCATTGCGAATTGA